AATCATATATTTTACAGTAAAAATTAGAAACATAAACCTTCTCTACCTTAAAAAAATTCTGTGAAACTAGGTGGATGAAACGCCATTAGTTCATCTTGATTTTTTTTATAGGGTTTTTAATACATAGTATATTTAATACATCTGTAAAATAGTATGTGCATTGGAAGAAATTATGTTAGTAGATACAAATAATATTATTGCATCTTTGCACACATAAATTTTTATATGATTTTTCGTTTATAATTACAATTTGTATTATGAAAATAGTTCTTGGCATTTCTTATTTTATCTTTAAAATTCTGCAAAAGAAAAATTAAGATCTAGTTAGGTATTGCTATATATGTCGAACAGCTCAAAAACTTGAAGGTATAAGACACGAAGAAATATTTGCCAAGATTTACCATTAAGATTGTTAAATTGGTAAATCCGTTAGAGCAGTTTTTCTCTAACTTTTTACTGTGGCGACCCCCCTTTTTGAATTTAAATTTTTTAGCGACCCTTTTTCATATTTTTTTTATCAAATTGATATAGGTACCACAAAATGTATACTAAATATTTAATTCTAATTAAATTTAAAAATAATGATATATAGATATTATAAAATTAAGGTTCTTAATGGCTTGGTTGTTGTTGTTGGTTTGAAATTATGTCGTCAATTCTTGACTTTATAGTTTGTTTATAGCTTTATAGCTAATTCTCATGGTTGCTGAAATGTCCAGTCGGTTTTTAGTTTTATTTTTTACTGCAGTCAATGTAGAAAATCCATATTCTCACAAATATGAAGTTGCAAATAGAATAAGTACTTTTAATACTTCTTCGGCCAAACTAGGGTATTCATTTTGAACGGATATCCAATATTTTCCTGCTTTTTTGTAACTTTTAAAATTTTCTTGTAAGCCTATATCTGAACTCAATTTAATCAGTTTCTCTTCATTTGTTAATGTTCATTTATTTAAGGCCAGAAAAAAATGTACGCGGGCCACCAGTTTTTCATCTCTGATGTAGACCAAAGGTGCAAATCAGAGGAGTTTGGGGGGGGCTTAGACCTTCAACTTAACCTACCCCCCATACCTAGGACATTACATTTCAAAATGTTATATTTTGTAACATAAATATTTTGTATGATGATGAAAGTAAAGTTTAAGGGGGTGTGGAGGATAAAGCTATGGGGACCCCATGGGGAAGAGTATGTTTGATATATATTTCTTAAGTCCTTCTAGGTAAAAAATTTAAAATTGTGCCTATGATGTAGACGCATTTATGTTCCTGCTGACCGTCTCGAACGATTCGTTTAATCAGCTTCGTGCCTGCACAGACATGTAACAACATTGTCGTATTTATTGTCATTAGAAGTTTGTTTAAAATGTAGTTCAAATACCCATCAGTCATTCTTAAAAATGTTTTACAGCTCATATGATCTAAATATTTTAATTCTTACAGTAGCATTCTTGACGCGTCAAGGTAGTTCATCATGTTTAACAACTTATTTTCTAACCCAATATTTTCATTTTTCTTTTTAGAAATTAAAATTTGATTCTCATATTCAAGAGCTAAAAGCCCACAATCTGAAATAACCACGTCTACTACGTTTGGCCCCACTTTTTACACTAAATACATTTGATAATGTTTACCAGGCATAGGCAAGTGGTGGTCCGCGTACTTTTTTTATTTGGTCCGTACTATATTTTCAAATCATTTAGTAACATTTTAACGTTTATCAGTATTTAATTTTATCACGTTGATCGTTAAATGTAGATGTTATATTTTTCCCTAGTATTGAACTACTGTTAAATCATAAAATGTCTAAATATAAAATATATCTATATCGACAAAGCTATAGGTATTAGGTACTTATTTAATTGTATTGGTTCAGACATGAAATTGAATTATTTAAAATAAATGCTAATTATCGATTTTAATGACCTTTTTTTATTTTTGTTTTCTTTACTATAGTCTGCCACATTTTAAAGTTCTAAAAATTAGGTCATTGACCCTCGCACCACCAAGTAAAAATGTTGATGTAAAAATGGTTTCACGAATTAGTAATCAATTCGTAATAATTCGTAACCAACAATTTGGAATTTGTAACTTAAGTATAATCATGCAAAATCAATTTTATATTTGCGGGTGCCAGTGTCAGTTGACTCCATAACCCGAGACTCGGAAAAATGTCATACAGTGTCAGAAACGGTACCACCGAATAGTAAAGAATTCGTAACCACAAATTTAGAATTTATAACTTAATTATATCCGCACAAAATGTATTTTATTTTTATTTATTAATTTAATATATAGTAGGTATTTATTTATAGTAATCATAATGAAAGAAATTAAAATAGTTTATTTTGATAAATGACAATAATATAATGGACATAATTAACACAAGTAAAATAATATTTGGTACTTCCAGAAAATATTAGAATGTATGTACAAATAAAAAACAATAAAAGTATATATGGGCAATGTTCAAGATATTAGAAAACTATACAAGTTAAAAAGTAATATGTAAATAAAACTAATTCTAAATGTGTGTATGAAAATAATTAAATTTTAAAATAAATAATTAATCAAGCAAAAATGATTATTATTATTATTTTTTTTTTTTAAATAAATATATTTTAAGGAAAATTATTGTTGGTATAGCAAATTAAGTAATAACTGTATACAATATAATAATTTAAATCATGAAACATTATGCGAAGAACAAACGAACAAGATTTACAATAAGACATTGGGTAAATTACTTAAATATTGAAATTGAAAACCTAGTTAAAACCTGATTTATTGTGAAGTGTGAACAATGTTTATTTTGGGCAGATAAACTTAAGTTACAAATTCCAAATTGTTGGTTACGAATTATTACGAATTGGTTACTAATTTGTGAAACCATTTTTACACTAAAATTTTTACTTGGTGGTGCCAGGTCAGTAATCTATAAAAATTGGTCTTCTAGTTACTTTAAGTTGCCCCTCCCTGATGTATACAATAACGTCTGAATTCGAATCAGTTATACTCGGATTCGGGAAACACGAACGTAGACTCAAATATAAAACTTGACAAGAGAAAATCACGTTTAATAAAAAACAAAAAAAAAAAACACATAATTAACTTTTGTTAAAAACTAAAAATAGTAGTATCCAAAAACGTTGATCATAATTTATTATTAAAATACTAACCTAACCAGCAATACGTATTGATATTTTTCAGAGGCATTTATTAATAAATAAAAATAAATAAATAAATATAATAATAATATAATAATATATTAATAAATAATATAATAAGTTTTCTTTTCTGCTGATATTTTGATACATGGGCATTACTAAAGTACACATTTTGGGGTAGCAAAGTTAATTTTTAGAAAATTAAAAAATAAATTTTTAAATGTTTAACATCATAACTGGCTTACTGGCTCAACTGGCTAACTCTTCTTCATAAATCTTCTTATGAAGAAAAGTGTATAAACTGTCTTACTGTCGGTATTGGACTTATCACAAATATAATTATTTTGGATACAATTACCACAATAATAGATGATCTACGTTCGTACACATTTGAAAAATAAACTTCGAATATATTTTTAAAATCTATAACTTTTTTCGGGGTAGCAAAAATATATCATTGCTACCTCACAAAATTTTCTGAGGTAGTAAAGATACCCCTTGATACCAATTAATGACACCTGTGTTTCGAGATGAATTGAAGAATTTATCACATTTTTAATTAATTAATATAATACAATTGTGACACGAATATATATTATACAAACAAAAAATATCTGTGAATTCTTACCACGGACTATATGAATATTCTTATAGTCTGTGTTGTTACATAGCCTCGCATATTATCACAGATAATATTAATGCAATGACTATTTTTTCTTATATAAAATTAATCAGAACTCAGATATTTAAATTAGCTAATGACTGTTCTTGCACTGTTATCTCATGTAATTCATGGTTTGTCATTAAATAAATAATAACAAATATTTATATCTAAATTTATGTATCATTTCGTGATATATATATATATATATATATATATATATATATATATCAACATTCTTATCAAATTTTAAAATTTTATCTTATATGAAAAATGCAAAATCAAGTTTACAAGTCTCACTTTAATAGAATACAAATGTAATTCTTAAAAATATTACCTTCATTTTCCTATAAAAATAGTACCTAATCATGTTGGTTTTCGAATAAGGCGAAATCATATTCTGTCTCCCAAATTCCTCATATATTTTTATTTTTATCAATATATGATATACATGTTTATGTATCACTATATTTTTATCACATATCGAAGTAACTCTTTAGATCATATTGTGGATAATTAAAATGTTACTCATTTAACACTTAAATGTATTTTATCTTTTGATTATATATTTTTAACACGAATGTTACCTCACTGTACAAAATTAAAATATTGAAAGTAAATATTCAATATAATTGTGGTCTGTGATAGCAATTTTTATGTCACTGTAGTCCATAAGGCTATGTGACATACGATATTGAAAGTACATAGGTGATTAGTATAATATAGCACAAAATGATGATATAGATTAATGTTGTCAAATGAAAACGAACTTTAATCGATTGAACAATTAAAAAAAAAAAAATTTAATTTATATTACATTGTTTCGGATACACAGTGAATATTCATATTTAAATATTAAAGAAAAAACTCTAAATAATTTTGAAAACAAAATTGGACGTATATGACAAACATCCGATAAAGATAATTTAATTTGTATTTTTAATAACATTAAAAAAAACTCATTGTTAGATAGCAGCACAGTTTCAAAAGCTGCGTTTACAAATGCTCTAATAACTTACACTTTATAGTTGAACACCTTGGGTCCTATTAAACCATTGGTGGGGACTTATGATGTCATTGTTAAAATGACTACGAGTTTTTCGTCGGTTATCAGCGACTAGTAAACATGTAGTGGAATAGAATTATTATCGTTTTGTATTAGCATACATGTAAATAAGTTTAGCAAGGTTCACTAGGCATTGGATTCGGTCAGCAAACGGACGTCTCTTACACTCTAGTATCTGTATCACATAATAAGAAGAGTTCCGTTAATATTCTCTGTAAGTACAATAATAAGCCAACATTTAATTTACAGTTTAGATAAATACCTTCAGATTACATGTTGTCCGTATAAAATGCTAACTTCTGTCGGAGCGTTTGATAACTAGGCATTTATTAATAATCGTGTTATTGACAAACTATTATCACGTAGCGCGCAGGATCGCACAGCTGCAAGGTTGCGCAAGGTGAACGAGTTTTGAGGTTATATGGGTCATATAGTCGAGCGCGGTAATTTAATTTATTTCTCATTTTTAGTATCAATCAGCGCGTTATACCTCAGATGATCAACAGGTGTGCATACTTTTATTTCTTATTTTTACGTTAGTTTAAATAGCTTAGTTTTTATTAATATTTCTCTGGTCAATCACATATACAATTAACAGAATAAGGGTAATAATAGTTAAGGAAATTTTAAAAACGGGAACTATTATGCGTTTAACCATTTCTTACTATATTTTATAAAACTAAAAAAATTAACATAACATTTACCATTATTGAGGTAGTTATTGTTGCAAAAAATTGTAATTTTTATATATTATAGTAAAACCATAAAATATTTTAATATTCAGTGCATTTTGAAATGTAAATGATTTATATAAAAATTATCTTTTAAAATGTGTCTTAAAAAAATTTTTTTGTAATTACTTTTAATCTCAGTAGAAAAATTCTTAAGGATCAATTAATTTTAAAAATTATTTCTAAAATAAGAACCTTTTCGATATCACATATTTTATAATAGATGAGTAATCATTTTTTTATTCATTACACATAGGTCAATATATATATTATGTTAAAGTTAAAACTATAATACAAAATATATAAATTATGTGGATTGTAGGTATCTATAATTTAATATAATTATTTATATAAATGTATTTTATTCTATTTTACAAAATTAATAATAAATAATATTTTCTTTAAATTAAGTACCTATTGACTATAAACTTCAATAATTGTGTTATATTTGAATCTAATTTACTTATTTGTCTACATATGACAAACATTATACACATAATAAAGATTGGGAGTCTTCCTATTAAATTAATATAAATTATATCAAAATATATAGTATTGATATACAGATATGTGTGGTAATTTAAATAACATAAAACAAAACATTTTAATTTTATGATTTGTATGTACACTATTCAGAAATCGGTATATTTTACTCGAGGGCGTCTATTTAAATTTTCTTAAATAAAGTGTAACTTTAATAAATTAAGTAGATTTTTGATTTTATAATTTTAAATAATTATTTTAGACGCATACAAACATACAAACACTCACTAACACGTGTAACCTAGCTTTTAGTTTCTTACATTCTATAATTAAATAATCAAATCACCTAAAATGAATTAATTAGTAATAGTATTACACTATCATGCATACGCTCAATTATGTACGTGTACATAAAACCACAGATTTTAAAACATTAAGGTTTGATGATGAACATTATTTCGAGAGAAAGAAAATTTTCCTTATATTTGCCCTTTTCATGAAACGTCCTTCAATAATACTTCTATTATTAATCAAATTTAATATAGATAACAGTATATTTAAAAACTCTGGTATTAGCATTAAGTAATAAGTAATTGTACCTAAGTCATTGACAAATAGGTTTAGAACTTACGAACCATATAATTTTTAATTTTTCTTCTTTTATTTCGTATAATTTGTTATGCGTACAAATATAATCAATAGGTACACGATATACTTATTAATATTGATTTTATAATTTATTTTATAAAAAAAAGTAATGCTAATAATAGAAAATAATAATAATAACAACTTGTATTGGGTATGATTATAAAAATAGTGATAACTATTAATGGTTTACTACTATATTGTTCATAATTATATGTTTATAAATTGCTGTCTACATTTTATTTCATTGATTTTATATTATCATAATTTTTATTTTTATTATTGTTTCTATAACAATATTCCTTTTTATTATTTTATTGAAGTGTTTAAACATTATCTATGAAATTTGAATAATCTGAAAATAATTAGAATCGCATTTTTTGTACTTCCAATATAGGTGATTATGAATTACTCGTAAGTATATTTGTTTTATTAAATAGGCATATACTGCATTCACTTTTTATTTTTCAAATCTATATTAAAAATTTTTCTAATTAAATTTTAAAGTTAATTAATTTTTAGTTAAGAGTTTGTAAGAAAACAACAAAAAAATAAAAAAAAATTGATTAATAATCAATAATTTTACAGTGTCATTTGTGTTACTAATTGAGGTACCTAATTTTTTATTATAATTTGTTTGCAGTTTTTATAAATATTATTGAAACTGCAGTTAAAAAATTAAAAGAAATAATTGTTGGCGTATGTCCAGTATCTTAAAATCGATCAGTAAATAAACTATTAAAATTATTAGAAATACTCGTATTTATTTAAAATTGAATGATATTAGATTTTGGTATTTTTTCAAGAATAAAATATATAAAATTATTAAAATCAAAAAGGTTAAATGCTTCTGTTTTTTAAATTTAGTTAAATACTAGTTAGTGTCTATTATTATTTATAATTTTTATGATTCGTGGATGTATCATGAAAACTTTATTAATTTTATATAAATAGTATTTTAATATTTATTAATTTAATTCATATTAATTAATCCGATATAACCTGCAGTATTTTGTTAATTTATTTTAATTGGTATAAATCTACAATAATTATAATTATAAATAATAAATTATGCTCTATTTTGAAAGTTTAAAAGTCAAATAATACTTACAAAATATTGGTTTCGATACTAATGAAATTACTAACTGTAATCGTAATCGCGTAATCTTGTATAATTTGTTTTTATAGGCCTGGAATATACAGTTTCACATTATTGTTCATTTTATAAGTCATTTATCTAAACAACCCTTGACCTATCTATATCAAAAATAATAATTCTGATAACAAGAGATATTTCTCCTCAATTCTGATTTTAAATATATGGTATATTAAATTGTATATTATTTATTTTTTATGTGTTACTATTTACTGTACCTACTATACTTTAATATTTACCTCAGTATGTGTATTAATTGATACTGTTGAATAGTGAATTCATTTATTATACTTCACTAATGAATTTGATTCTTCTATACAAAACCGAATAGGTTACTCAAACATAGCAGCGGTCATTGGGATACTGGGATAGTTCCCGATAGGCTGATCGTCATATTTTGTGATTTTAAAGTTTTAACAGGCATTTTTCAGATGCTTAATAATTATAGTTATAAAATTACTATGATTATTTTAATATATCGAATGGGCTTGTCACACAGTAATTTCCCGGGTCGAATTATTTAACTAATCCTCTACTGTTCAAATACAAGTCTAAACAATTTGTTCTGATGTAATTATATTTCAATAATATATCTGCGAGTTTATATCGACTTGCCATTGTTTCATAGTTATGACATTCTTAATTCATAAACACGAATAATCAATAAGTATAAGAGTTGTTTCAAATTGAAAGTACTATTATATATCCTTCCCTGTGATTATTAAAATATCGTGAAACAAATTTAGATTTTTTGGTATTTTATCTTTTTTCCGATTATTTTTTAAAACATACCTGATGCTAATTGGTTACTTTTTAATAGTTAGATAGAATGGCTCAATGGCTAGAAAAAATGAAAATGTTGTTAAGACTTAGGTACTCAATAAAACACACCACTATATAATTTTAATCTCATTTATGCCTCCACTAATAAATTGCCAGTTTTACCATTAAAATAACTAATTCACAGATACGATTTTTTTTTCGTCTATTTAATTTAAGTAATATTCATAGAGTGAAATTATATTTAAACACTCCTATTTTCAAAATAAACTTCAAAATATTTAATACTCGTAACAAAACTATAAATTCGCGTGCATTAAATTATAAACTAAACGTAATTAGATTTAAAAATCTAGTAATTATATCATTCTTAATACTTAAATTAGACTTCAGACTCAAAGATTAGTCAATTTACCTGTAAACTTAATTCATATTCCTTGAAAATGAAATTTATTATTACTTTTGATTACTTTTTTTATAAACTTGTTTAATTGTAAATTTTAATGTTTGTAATTTAATTCTGTACTATAGCCTTCGGAGCGTAAATAAATAAATAAATTATTATACATAATAATTATATATTATTATTCAAAAGAATTGTTATATTTATAATCAAATACAATTTTTATTTATTTATTTATATTAAATACGAGACGTGCTCAATATCATTGTGTTGTATATATACTAATTAATTCATTTTTTATAATTAAAAAAACAAATTATACTTAATATAAATTAATAAATTATTTAACATTTAAAATTCCAAATGTAGTGATTGATATTATGTTAACATAAATATTAATTTTATTTACATTTTTATTTTTCATAATTATTGTACAATTTTCTATGCTTATATGTTGTTTGTGTCACCTTGAACATATTCTTGAATAGTACACTCTTAATATACTAAGGTCACGAAACATTCGCATACAATAATTTAATAAACATTTAAGTGTGTCTATAAATGTTTCGTTTAATTATACACTTTATCATATTTTCTTTTTTTGCCATTAATTTTTATTCTTTTCGTTTGCTTTTACCCTATTGTATTATGTATTATAGTATTGCTTTTACAATCATTAATTATATTTGTTATATTTCTTGATTTAATAGTTAATCAATATATTATTGTTGTTGTAACTGATATGCTTTTAATCGTTTAATATGTTTTTAATAATAACTGATTCCTATTATTACCCCATTTTACGTAAGAATTTCTTAAATAATTAGAAAGTTTAATAGCTTATTATTATAAATAATCAGTTGAAGAAAAATTAATTTATTTTAAGTAAATACCTGTCTTAAATATGTTATCATGTCTTAAAACGAATGTGTTGCAATTTCGCATGTGTTTTTACTGTTGAATAAATTAAAAATCAATTTTTTAAATTATAAATATTTAACGTAATTACATTTTATGAAGTCATTTTATTATTATTTAACATTCATAAGAGTTTGAAAATCATAGTAATGGAATGAAGTGCGGTTCCATTAACACAATATCATTGGTATTTTTACGGCTTCATTCACAAATCATAAAAACTATTTACAGAAGACTGAATTGCCTCACATTTTTACACTTTATATCTAAAGAATAAAAACAATAAATAAACAATATTCCATTCATACAGTTCGAATAGCGTGTTTAGGGTTTCAATGATTGAATATATTATAGTTACCAGTTGAAAAAATAATTTTATCCTAAATGTATTTTATATAGTACAGTATATAAAGTAAAACCAAATTGATCAAATGAAAGAGTAAATAAATTGATAACATAAAATAATTTATTTGAATGGATATTTTTCAACATAACATTAATGTTTTTATTATTATATTAGGTATTGTATTGTTATATAATCATTGTCCATTAGTAACAACTAAGAACTTGAAGCCTTGAGTTTTGTGTCTTGCGTGTTTTGCACTTATATTTTAAGTTGGCCGTAGGATCTCCTATATGAAGCTATATGATGTTAACATAAGACTGAGTTTGTTTTTCTTCTTCTTTTTGGTGATATTCGACCTTCAAGACCTGAGTGTTTTATCAGTTTTTAATTAATTTAATGTTTAGATCTTAGAGAATAGTGTATGTGTTTTCATATTTAGTTTATATTTAATTTTAATAAAATTAGTAACGTTGCACTACAATCGTGTTCCAAATGTTTTAAAATGTCACTAACATTTTCTACTGGAAATAAAATATAAAAAATCATTTGCATTAAAAATTACATTGTAAACCTGTTTTTTGTACGCACTTTTAATAAAAAATATATTAATTTAAGAAACATTTTAGTTGTCCCATAAGATAACCAAAAATCATCCTTAAAACTTCTTTGAATTATACAAACATTTAAATAAAAAACTACAAATTTTCCCTCCATTTAAGAATACATTTATTGTATTATTAACCATTATTACGACCATCAATTATGTGCTACAATAAGTATATTGCTATCAATTAATAATCTTAATGGTTTTCTTATTAAGGCTGTAGATAGGAATTGAATACAGAGTGTTTCAAAAGCTTGTAAATGGTTCAATCTGACAAAAAATATTGCAATTAATGCATTATGGGAATAAAATATTCTAGTTTTGTTTAAAATTAATAAAAAAAAAAAAAAAATTGTTTTAAAATGTGAAGTATTAAATTGATTGGTGAATCTTGTGTTTAAACATATTTAGCAAATCAAAAGATAAAATTTTACTATCTAGAATATTTTAACTAAGTATTGGATAATTAATTTGTTTTTATATATAAATATTTATTAAAATTGTTCTGAATAAAAATGAAATTGATTATGTTTTCTTATGCTTTAAATACGGGGTTTTTATTTAAAAGTTTAACCTTAGTAATAGTTATAACTTGTATGTTTAAATAATCCAAGATGGTTAAATAATTTAATAATAAATAATTTTCAATTTAATATTTACGACTAAGTTTGAACATAGGTGGTATAAACTTATTTAATGTATAAAAAAATAAATACCAAATTACAGAATTAAAATGTAATATATTCAATTAACTATTTTATGACAACAAATAATAATTAATATGATTAATTTAATTATTTATATTTGTCACAGATTATAGTGGAGTCCTAATTGTGTTATAAATAATGATCATTTCAAATGTAAGTGGTTCTATTCGGAATCATGTTCGAAATCAGTTTATTGCTCTATCTTTATCACGAGCAAGGTATTCTTCTAAAGTAGAATACAAACCAATAAGAAGTGTTCTTGTTGCTAATCGAGGTTAGACCTATTTATAAAATATTTAAAAATATTCATTTTTTTTACCTCTATCATTGTAGGTAATATAAGTTTGATATATTTTATAAATAGGTGAAATTGCTATTCGTGTATTCAGAGCGTGCAATGAATTGGGTATTAAGTCTGTCGCCATATATTCTGAACAAGATAAAATGCACATGCATAGATTGAAGGCTGATGAATCATATCTAGTTGGAAAAGGAAAAGCACCAGTAGAAGCATACCTTGACATACCTGAAATTATAAGAGTTGCAAAAGTAAATTACCCAATGATAGTTTATTCACTACAGTTAAATTATTGTAAAAATAAATGTTTTTAAAAGTTGTTTATCAAAAATATTTATAGTTATTAAATTTTTTTTTTTTTGAAAGGAAAATGATGTTGATGCCATTCATCCTGGTTATGGTTTTCTATCAGAACGATCCGATTTTGCTCAAGCAGTTATTGATGCTGGAATACGGTTTATTGGACCATCACCTTTTGTTGTGCAACAAATGGGTGATAAAGTTGCAGCTAGACAGGCGGCTATCGATGCTGGTGTTCCAATTGTTGCTGGTACTCCTGGCCCAATCAGAACATCTGAAGAAGCAATCGAATTCTGTTTAAAACACGATTTACCCGTTATTTTCAAAGCTGCTTATGGAGGTGGTGGTCGAGGTATGAGAGTTGTTAGAAAAATGGAAGTAAGTAATTCAATATTATGTTATTTATTCAGATTATATAATTAAAATTTTCAGGATGTCAAAGAAAATTTTGAACGTGCTTCATCAGAAGCAAAAGCAGCTTTTGGCGATGGTGCTATGTTTATTGAAAAATTTGTTGAAAGACCACGTCATATTGAAGTTCAACTTTTGGGTGATCAAGCTGGAAATATTGTTCACTTATATGAAAGAGATTGTTCAGTTCAACGCCGTCATCAAAAAGTTGTTGAATTGGCACCAGCTCCTCACTTGGACCCAAAGGTTATAAATATTTATGTGTATTTTGTTACTAAAATTAACAAAAAAAAAAAAAAAAAATGTTGAGTAATTTAATTTAATTTTTTAGGTTAGAGACTTAATGACTGAACGTGCAGTTAAATTAGCTAAACATGTAGGTTATTCCAACGCTGGTACTGTAGAATTTTTAGCAGATAGCAAAGGTAATTTTTACTTTATTGAAGTTAATGCTAGACTCCAAGTGGAACATACTGTTACTGAAGAAATCACTGGGTAAAATAATATATAATTTAACTGAATTTCTTTATACTTTTAATTGTATAAACTCCTTATGTTACAGTATTGATTTAGTACAATCTCAAATTCGAATTGCGGAAGGTGTTACGTTGCCAGAACTTGGTTTAACTCAAGATAAAATTAAACCTCAAGGTTTTGCTATTCAATGCCGTGTTACTACTGAAGATCCTGCTAAAAATTTCCAACCGGATACTGGTCGTATTGAAGTAAATGCCAATGTTATATTAATTCAAATATTAATAGTAATATTTTATAATAATTTAGGTTTTCAGAAGTGGTGAAGGCATGGGTATTCGATTGGATGGTGCTTCTGCCTTTGCTGGAGCTATTATCAGTCCATACTATGATTCATTGCTTGTTAAAGTTATTGCACATGCTGCTGATTTACATGCATCCTGTGCTAAAATGAATCGTGCTTTGCGTGAATTTAGAGTTCGAGGAGTGAAAGTAAATTAAACATTTTATATTCATTATTTAGTTTCTGAATTATAAAAAAATTATTTAGTATTCTTATGTTGAACTTAAATTTTAGACAAATATACCATTCCTCCTAAATGTGTTGACTAATGAAAAATTTGTGAATGGATCAGTTGATACATATTTCATTGATGAAAACCCTCAACTCTTTACACTTGAACCATCACAGAATAGAGCCCAAAAATTACTTAATTATTTGGGAGAAGTTTTGGTAAATGGTCCTCAAACTCCATTAGCAACCAGTTTGAAACCTGCAAATATACAACCACATGTACCTGAATTTCCTGCAGGTATTTGCACAATTTAAATACTGTATAAAGCACTTCGATACTAATTTTTTTACATTTTATATGTATTCATACTTAGTCATTGTAAACTAATTAAATTAGAAATTACAGTTTTGGTGTTGCATGTATATAAATTACATAAAATGTATATAATATGTGAATTACCTTAATTAAATCAATAGATTTTTAAAAATTTTACCTATAAAACAGCTGGAAAATATTTTTGGAGAACTTTAGCAAAATATCACAAAATAATTTTAAATTTATCACTTATAAACAAATTTGATACTTGTACTTGAGTATATTGTTTATATTATAATTTCATATTTTCAACATTTCAATAGATACCATATGTATCTAAAATATCTGAATAAACACAAAAAAATATGATAGTATAAACCTTTGGATAGTTTATTTTTCACTTAAACCCTTCACCTGCCTCTAAATAAAATTAAAATATAAAGAAGTTTTGTAAAACCATGGTTAACTGAGGGTGCTCTTAAAAGTAAAACATGTAATGTAAGATGTTTAGGTTGGGGTAGTATTTTTGTATACCTTTAAAACATAGTTCTAATTATATTTATAATATTCTAAACCACAAATAATTGTAATCGAAAAAAAAAAAAAATAATTTAAACACCTTATATGAGAAATGAATATAATTGAATGTCTTCAAATTATGTTTCAGTTCTCACTGGGGACTATAGATTTGGGAAATTATACACAACAATATTATATAAAAAAAAATTCTAAGAAATTTGGATTTTATTTCCAAATTTACTGGGCACTTCTATACTTTTAGGTCATAATTTATTTTTATATAGATTTTAAAGAACTTTTTTAAGGGTAATTTAGAAGATTTTTTAGGGCATCATATCTGGGACTTAACATTATATTATTGTACAATACACGAGAATCATTATTTTAATTAGTTATTTTGTGTTATAATTGTATGCAACTGTCTTACTTATTGTTTTCAAACTATTGTGCGTGTGCTTGTCTAGATTATGTTGCACGCATTTTATGCAAAAATGATCCAGAAAATAATACAGGTAATCCACGTTTAAATAAAATACTATAATTGCTTAATTTGCTTGTTTAATATGCGCCCGTTCAGTGGTGTCACAATCTTAACATTTTGTCTAGGAATTCCAAAACTAATCCTTAATGTGTTATTATATAGACAAATATAAGCTAACATGTAACTATGAAACCTTCTCATATAATTTTTGAAAACATTTGGGCCATGGTCTAATCTCAGTATGAACTTTAGTGCCAACGGACCCATTTATTTTACAATATAACTTAACAAATTTCTTATTAAATAATATATTAGACTCACAATTTTTAACATAAATAATATATACTCTAATATTTAATATTTATCACTAATTTTTTAACATACTAATAAATATTAATATTTAACTATATATTTTACTTGTGGTTCCAGATAAGTTTATATTTACGAATCATATATCCACTAGGGCGGACTGGGGTGAAAAATGGACCCTTTATTAGACTTATACCAGCCCTCATAGATCTAATGATAGAAACTTGGCATATTAAAATGAGAGAAGGATTATTTATTTTTTTAGTATTTTAAAAATTTATTACACAATATACTAACTAGTATCAGAGAATATTTAAGCCAAAAATAAAATCAACTACTCTTACCTCTTACATCTTTTCATGTAAAAATATGAAACTGATAATATTAAGTTTTAAAAAATACATTCAAAACTGTTGTTCATTCATGCTTTTTTAATATTATTGAAAATGTTTTATAAATTATCGAAATACTGCCAATAACCACTATTAACTACCTACCTACCATTTTACAAAATAATATATATTTGTATATTACTGATAATAATAGGTACTTGCATAGACCTCATATACTATATGACATATAGTTACTTAATTATGACTGCTATAAATATTTCAGATGTGTGATACATTGACACATGAGCCCATTATATGTTCAAAGGCCCAAAAATCTTATTGGCCCAGAGGGCGATCGCTATCCCGCCCACCGTATCAGTCCACCCCTGTATATCTAATAAATTATTTATTTTATTATAATTAAAAGTGCTAAATACATAAGATCCTAATTTTATATTTTATAAGTCAATGAGTTAATTTTTTAAAATTGTATTTTAGGTTTAAGTCCTCCTCAAGGATTCAAACAAATACTTATTAAAGATGGGCCAAAAGCTTTTGCTAAAGCAGTTCGTGATCATAAGGGGGTTTTGTTAATGGACACTACAATGAGAGATGCTCATCAATCTCTTTTAGCAACTAGGGTTAGGTATGTTGGATACATATTTTCTACAAAAAAACATTTTTTTTTTTTTTAAATACTAGATTTTTAGAAGTCTTTTGAAATAATCTTAATAAAAATGTGCCATTAAAATCAAATTATTTTAAATTTACTATCGTTTTACATCTCAGGTCACATGATATTCTACGTATTGCTCCATGGGTATCACAAAGTTTCCCAGGCTTATATTCATTGGAAAATTGGGGTGGTGCTACATTTGATGTAGCACTTCGATTTTTACATGAATGTCCATGGCAAAGATTAGCAGATATGAGATCAGCTATACCTAATATTCCATTCCAAATGTTATTGCGTGGTGCAAATGCAGTTGGTTATACAAACTACCCTGATAATGTTGTTTTTAAGTTAGTATGCTTTTCTATTTTTATATTACCAAATAAATTTGATATTTTCAGTTAGAGAATTAACTAGTTAAACTAAGTAACTCAATTTTTATTCTTATCCAAGATTTTGTGATCTTGCTGTACAAGCTGGTATGGATGTATTTCGTGTGTTTGACTCACTTAATTATTTACCAAATATCATTCTTGGTATGGAAGCTGTTGGTAAAGCAGGAGGTGTTATTGAAGCAGCTGTTTCATATTCTGGTGATGTGTCTGATCCTACTAAAACAAAATATACTTTAGACTATTATATAAATGTTGTTGACGAATTAGTTAAAGCTGGTACTCATGTACTGTGTATTAAGGTTAGTTTTAAAAAAATAATAGATATTATTTATATATACTACATTAAATACATTTAATCTACACAATTTCATAATATTCAAGGATATGGCAGGACTTTTGAAACCTCGTGCTGCTACTATGCTCATTGGTGCTATACGTTCTAAGTATCCTAATTTACCTATTCATGTCCATACTCATGACACTAGTGGTGCTGGAGTTGCTTCTATGTTAGCAGCAGCAGAAGCTGGTGCTGATGTAGTAGATGTTGCTGTTGACTCAATGTCTGGTATGACTTCACAACCAAGTATGGGAGCTATTATTGCTTCTTTACAGGGTACCGAATTAGATACAGGTGATTATTTTACAGTTATAATAAAAATATAATTATATTAAACAAAAATATTTTTTATCTAAGGTTTACAACTAAAAGAAGTATCTGAATATAGCGCTTATTGGGAACAAGCAAGAACTTTGTATGCTCCGTTTGAATGTACAACAACAATGAAATCTGGAAATGCCGATGTATATTTGAATGAAATTCCTGGTGGTCAATATACCAATCTCCAATTTCAGGCTTTCTCATTGGGGCTTGGTGACTTCTTTGAGGATGTAAAAAAAGCTTACAGAGAAGCTAATCTTTTATTAGGAAATATTATAAAGGTGAAAATAAAGTTAAAAGTCTTAACTTTGTGCAGTATGCATATTTTTTTATTTTGGAAAATATTTATTTAATTATTTTCTCAACTTATAAATACATTTAATTTATGTATAGGTTACACCTTCATCTAAAGTTGTTGGAGATTTAGCTCAATTTATGGTGCAAAACAAATTGACTTCTGAAGATGTATTAGCAAAAGCTGAAGAATTGAGTTTCCCTAAATCAGTAATTGAGTTCTTACAAGGAGGGATTGGTGAACCATATCAAGGTTACCCTGAACCATTGAGATCAAAAGTAAGATATATGATTAAATATCTTTTTTATATTTATATTAAAATATAATTTTTTTAATAGCTCCTTGAAAGCTATATCTATTAATTTACCACCTACTAAAAATCAGAATATTTATCCAATTTTTTTTTTTTTTTTTTTTTAATAATACACCAAATTGTTTTTGAAATATGATGATTTATCATCAATCATAATTTTTAAATTCAAACAATTGACAAATTGGATATAACCTATATATATATAACCTGGAATCATTAGTATCTCTCAGAAACATTTTATTCAATATTATATTATCTTCTTTATTTGCTGTTAATTTTTTTGATATAAAAACTAAAGATATCATTGTATTTATACAGGTTTTGAAAGATATGCCACGTATTGAAGGTCGGCCTGGATGTTCTTTAGCTCCATTAGATTTCAATGAAATAAAAACTAAATTACAAGATAAGTATCAAAATATTAGTGACTATGATGTTATGAGCTCTGCACTTTATCCTACAGTCACAGATGAGTATTTAACATTTAAAGAAGAATATGGACCAGTAGATAAACTTGATACAAGAATATTTTTAACTGGACCTAAAGTTGGAGAAAACTTTGAAGTTAGCATTTTTAAATCATTAGATTTGTATTTTATCCCTATGATATTAATACAATACATTTTAACTGTCTAGGTAACCATAGAAAAAGGTAAAACATTAGCCTTTAAAACACTTGCAATTTCTGAAGAACTAACTGCCAATGGTGAAATTGAAGTATTCTTTGAAATGAATGGACAGTTACGATCAGTGTTTATACGAGATAAGGAAGCATCTAAGGTATTTTGTTTAAAAATGTAAACTATTAATTCTATTATTTTTTATTACTCAATATTTTTTAGGAGATGCATATTCATCCAAAAGCATCCAAATCTAATAAGGGAGAGGTTGGTGCCCCAATGCCAGGATCTGTAATGGACATTCGAGTTAAAGTAGGTGACAAGGTTGAAAAGGGTGCACCACTAGTCGTTTTATCTGCCATGAAAATGGAAATGGTGGTCCAGGCGCCTATTGCAGGAACAGTAAAACAAATTGACATAAACATTGGAATGAAATTGGAAGGAGAAGATTTATTGTTGTCCATTGAACCATAATTTAATTGAAAATATATAATTTAAGTTTTATAAATATCCCTGCCATAAAGATCCACACAGATATAGTTATAAGGTTTATCCACTAGTCAAAATATGTTAAAATTATATTTATTTAAATTAATAGGTGGACATAATATGTACGAACAAAAATGAGTACTGATGTTGAAATTGTGTTGTGATTTATATGTAATATTATATTATTATACAGAATATTTTTGTTTGTATTTAATATTTTAAGATAAAGAATTATTTTTAAGTGTTAACTTTTTGTACCTGGGTCACTTGTGACTGAGATGAATAAATAAGAATTTAAATTAAATTTATTCATATAAAAATATTTACAAATCTGTCTTCACCATTCTCTAAATAATTATAAAATATTTTTTTAAAGAAATATCAACTGTTAGTTCAAACAAACAACTAAAATAATATCTTCTACTTTTATTAATATTGATTTTTTTAAAATTCTACATTAATCAAAATAAGATCTTGAATTATTTTAACTAGATGTAAAATATTTATTAATTCTTCGAAAAATTAGCAGTGTTCTTAATTAAGAAATAAAACTAAAATCTAATTTAAAACATATATTTAAAATAGTTTATAATTAAGTGTTGTAACACATAAAATATTAAGTATATTAAATTTAAATTTTTTGTGTTCATATTTTTTTAAGAGAAATTTTATAAAATTATTGATTTCAATTTAATATAATACTAAAAAAGTATATATAGTTTTAATACTTCTGACACTGGTATTGCTTATTAGTTGTATAATAACTATAACTTGCATTTTTATCAAGTTACATAATTATTCTAGTATATGTTATAACTAGTTGATATATCTAGGCCAAGATAGACCAAAAGAATAACCGAGAAAAACTCTATGGGCCATATTGTAGGAAGACCTGTTGGTGAGTAAACTGTTAGTTCAATGATCAGTTTTGATTAATTGGTTTCAAGAATTTAGGAAGAGCCCCCTTTGCATTTTACATAACATCTGTCTTTGAAGCTACATGAAATTAATTACAATTTTATAACTCTAGGCCGAGCTGAATTAAGGGGGAGGGGCTAAAGCTCAGGGTCCCCAAAAAAATAATATACTCTTGCAGCTTTCCTACAGTTCTAGATATATAATTAGAAAAATATGATTTTAACAATATTTATTTAAAGATACAATCATATTAATCATTTGAAATAATTGTCTGTGACAACCTGCATGTTATTGAATTAGATAGATACATACAACAAGCAATATACTGTGTTATTTCGTTTTATTTTATCGCTTTCAAAAAAAAGTTTGAAGTCAATACTTTCTTTGTTGTTATAGATAAATTGATTTCTGAACTTGACGGAAGATTAAATTCTTATAATCTTTTTCTTTCTCAATTCAAATTTTTAGTTAATTTTAAAACTGACAATGATTCAATAAATAACTTTATTCAGTTTTACCATAATGATCTCGATGAAAACTTGAAAACAGAAATATCACATTTTTATCATTATATCAAAACAGTTTCTTCAGATATTGACAGCTATAGAAAAACTTCTATATGAACGACAACTTATTGATGTTTTTCCAAATGTATATTGAGATTATACCTAACAATACCGTTGACAAATTGTGAAGCAGAACATTCATTCTCCAAGTTGGCTCTAATTAAAAATCGACTAAGATCTATACAGATTGAAGATAGGTTGAACGCATAAACAATTGTGTCAATTGAAAACGATATATGTAAAAAACTTTCATTTCATGGCATTTTAGGTACTTTTGCATCAAGTAAATCTAGAAAAAATGATTTTAAATAATCATTTGTTTGTATTTTTATGTTATTACCATATATTTTATATTTTAAAATTTAACTTAATTGTATTTTTTAACTAATAAATATCAATTGGCATATTATTATTATAAAAATACTTTTTCTTGTAAAATTAGGGCCTCAAAAATAAATTAGCCCAGGGCTACTAATTTCATTAATCCAGCTCTGTCTATAGGCATTTTACATTCCCTACCTGGCACTAGATAAACTATTTACAGCTAATATACTGCTTACAGCAGGGATCGCCAACCAGTCGATCGTGATCTTTTTAGGAATATAGGTCGATCGCATAAAATAATCAGATTAATCGGATAATGGGAAGATTAGATTATTATTATGAAAAATACAATAAATAATTATTCTTTGGAGCTTAAGACTTTTTTTCTTTTGCTCATCAAACAAATCTCCTCCTAAAGACCTATATTCTCTTGGATGTTGATCACCAGGGATTTAAATGTCAAATGTAGCTCACTTGTTTTAAAAGGTTGGCGACCCCTGGCTTACAGTAATATTATAGAACAATATTAGTTATTTTTCAAGATTAATGAAAATTTGTGAATTGTATACTTACTGTCTTATAAAAATTTAGATAGCATGCACATTGACAAATTTTGATGAAAAAAAATTTTAGACTAATTTTACACTTGCAGAACAAAATTTTAATACTAATACCATTGATTATAAATACTAGTATTTATAATCAATGCTTATACTTATACTTAAGAGAAATTTGTAAAAGTGTTTATAATATTTAGCATTTTTTTTAATTTTATCTACATTGATATATTATTCTCTTATGTATATATTGTGCAAAATTTTTTTGAATGTTTTTACAATGTATCTATTTAGAAAATGTATTGATCTTTTACACATTTTTAATACCTTTAATTTTTGTGTCTTATTATAACCAAAATAAATTCTAAAATATAATTAACAGAAACCTGTATTTCATAAATTAAATATTCTAGAACTTGAATATTTGTTTTTACTAAACATATTTTACTCATCCCATTTTGAGACGAGCTTACAGTTTTTCTCATTTTAACAGTATTTTATAATCTCAAAAAAAATCCTAGATATATTTATGTAATATTCAATACCATCAGACATAAACTATTAAATTTTATCAACTCTCCCCTTTTTCCCTGAAGCTAATAAGTATAAAGTATGCAAGACTCATTATTTTATGTTATTATAATGCAAATTCAGTCCTAAATTGATTTATCTAATTATAAAGATACTTAATTATTTTGGACAATATGAGTCTGTTAGGTTTTGTAAAAATCACTAAGATACCAAATAAAAATTACTATGTATTCACATTATTAAATATAATATTTTATTGAACAACAAGAATATTTACATCAATTTTTGTAAATATAAAATAAAGAAAAATTTACATGAATACTAATTAATTTTCAGGTGTTTATTTCATAAACTATGTAAATTATATTAATTATTTTCCTGAATTAAACATTAGGTTTTTCTTGAGTGTCTTTTTTTGGTTCATTGTTTAATAATATTTTATCTAATTCTCCTGATCTATGTAATTGCAACATAATATCACAGCCTCCAATGAATTCTCCATTAACAAATACTTGAGGAATTGTTGGCCAGTTTGAGTATTCTTTAATTCCTAAACATAACAATCATCAAATAATTAAAAAAAAAACAGAAGCATTGTTATAGTTACATTTTAATTAGGTTGTAACCAAAGAAAACGAAATTCTGTAGCTACTTATTTTGCTTGTTATATATTTAAAAGATCCCAAATTTTACCAAAGTATTTAAGTCTATTAGTAATCTATATATAGTAAGGTTCGTACTATCATAAAATAGGTCAGCATTATTAATTACTTCTTAACCTATTGAATTTAAGAAAGCCTGATTCTTCAATAAATTTAGCAGAGGAATTTTCTATCCTTTAATTTGTAAAATATCAGATTGGTATAAATACAATAAAAATAAGTTGACAGACATTAGATAAAGAATATGTATTATAGACAACTTTACTTTAGACATTAAAAATTACAAACAAAATTATTTCAACTTTCAAGTATTTCCTATAACTATACATATCTAAAATCAATTTGGTTTTATATCACTTTTTTAAAATAAAAATCAATAAATAAAAAATAAGTCCAAAGAACTGAAATTTATTTATATTTTCAAACAAATAAAAATAATTATCACTCACCATTTCTGAGATTTTCATCTTTAAGTACATCATGAGCATCAAATTTTGCTTTGTGAATATTTAAAATATCTACAACTGCATTACTAAAACCACACCTAGGAGCTTGTGGGACACCTTTCATAAAGACGACAATTTTATTATTTTTTACCAACTTATCTATATGAGAGTGAATCGGATCATCAGTTTTAGTACTAAGGAATTTACTGTGTATGTAAAATGGACCAATTCTAGTAGTTTTACTTAAATTTATCATCTGACGTAACAACGACATTCTTTAACAATTAACAGTAAACAGTATATAATAAAAATTAAAAATATGCAGTTGTAAAGTTAATACAAAAATATTCAGCAAGGTAGTTATGTTTAAGGATTAATAAGTTGTTCTATAACTTATAAATAGTTACAACTTGTAAATCGAAGCCTCGATTCCTAGGACGTCGGCATTGAGAGATAACAATAATATGCTCGGTTATCACTGAAATATACCATAGTAGCATATAAACATAACCTCAAATACACTTGTATCACGGAGAGAAATGTAACCTTGAAGAATTAATATTAGGGTTGCAATTGCTTATTGAAAGTATATTAAATAAAAAAATATAATTAAAACTACAAATTATAGAAGCATACTGTTTGAATAAAGTTAAATATCAATTAAATTTAAAGTAAAGAAAAAATAAACTATTTTTATTCATGGTGGGAAGAAAGTGTTCGCCATTTTTCCCTTCCTGCCGACCCCACACCATAAATTTATTTAAGATTAATTTATATGCTAGCGGGACGTGAAGAGGCAGTGGTGCGACCCTCTATAGTACTGACTACCGATTGTACTGATTGATAGCTGAAGGTATACATTTAGACCGCTTATAAGAATAAAATATCGTGATTGAACCGTGTTAATTTGTGTGATCCGTTCGAGGTTTTCCGTCCACAATGGCAGACGGTGAACCATTAAACATAGACAGTATAATCGCACGGCTTTTAGAAGGTAAGTTTACCATTCAACTATAATGAAATCATCATAATTGCCGTTCTTGTTACGATGCAACCTTATTGGTTATTAATTTTATTACATTTCAAAACATTCCTTTATTACGATCCAGTTATTTTGGCTATGTTAAGTTAATAACATTTAACATTAGTTCAATGTTCTAAACATAGCTTTACCAAAACAATTGATTTTAAATGGATATTTGCACATGATAGCTGTGAGATATGATTTAGATTGCAGATTAAACATCTAATCGTTTTATTTAATATTGGAATTTAAATCAATTTGCTTCATATGACGGATAATCTGAGAATTGCAGAGTAATTAATGTGGTATACACTATTTCATTTTAAAGTATCGATTAATTTGTGTTAGTACATAATATGTACTTAATGTTATATTTAATATTTATGATTTGGAAAGTTGAGTCTGAGCAATTAAATACATTTCGTGAAATGTTTTGATAATTAATTTTATATACATTAAATTGGTCATTATTATTTTATTATATTAGTTAAAATTTGTGATAAATATTTTATATTGTGAACTACTAATTTTTTATTAGTGAATGTAATTTAATAGTTCTGAAGAAGATATTTGTTTATAAATTAAATAGTTTGGCAATTCATGGAGTTAATAGTTAATGATCAATATTTTATATAATTAACAGGAAGTAAAATTTGTAAATTTTAATTGATTCTTATAATATAATTAGATATGGATTTAGTTCCTAAAATTATACAGCTATTTTATTAAATTTTATAATTAACCATAAAATATTGTTATTATACTATTAAACTATATTATTATACTATAATATTAAATACTAATAGTTTATTTTTGTAAAAGTATTGATATCAAACTGCTTATAGATATGGTATAAATTACAAAATTAACTCATCACCAAAATTGTAATGTATTTTCTTAAGTAACTGCTACACTTAAGTCTACCTAAAAGTAAATAGTTTTAACATAAATTAATCATCAAAACAATTTTTAATCTACTGATTACTTAGTCCTTCTGTGAAAATAAGCCTACTTTGGATAAGGAGTTCTTTTATTGAATTTAATATTTAATTGAAAATCATTTTTATTATTTTATCATCAAGATAATTGTGACTAAACGCTGTTTTTTTTTATAGTAAGAGGATGTCGACCTGGTAAAACAGTACAAATGTCTGAAGCAGAAGTCCGGGGATTATGTTTGAAATCTAGAGAAATATTTTTACAACAACCAATTTTATTAGACTTAGAAGCACCTTTAAAAATATGTGGTAAATAAATATTTTTAATTATTATTGGTGATAACTTAAATACTGTTGGTGCATATTATTACATATATATAATGTTTTTTTAATTTTTACAAAAATCATCTATGATAATTGTCATTTGATGTTTTTCTTATTTGTAATACTCATTAAGTAGCAAATTTAATAAAGAATAATCTATGATTATTTTAATTATTTTACATTATTATCATTGTAATCAGAAAAAAATAAGAAATATGTGTTAAAGATACAATCTTATTTTTTATTTTTATTTATTAAATATAAATATTAAAAAAGAATTACATAAATCATAACATCATACTATTATTTACATAAAAATACTATTTGCATTACTTTTTCACATAACATATTTTTAATTTTATTTTTTAGGAGATATACATGGACAGTACACTGACCTATTGCGTTTATTTGAATATGGTGGGTTTCCTCCAGAAGCCAACTATTTATTTTTGGGTGATTATGTTGATCGTGGAAAACAATCTTTAGAAACTATTTGCCTTTTATTAGCATATAAAATAAAATATCCAGAAAATTTTTTTCTTTTACGAGGCAATCATGAATGTGCAAGTATAAACAGAATCTATGGATTTTATGACGAATGTAAATAATAAAATGTTAATAATAATTTTTATTAATTTATTCTATTATTTAATAAACATATTTTTAAATATGTTTTTCAGGTAAAAGACGTTATAATATAAAATTGTGGAAAACTTTTACTGATTGTTTCAATTGTTTGCCTATTGCGGCTATTATTGATGAAAAAATATTTTGTTGTCATGGTGGACTTAGTCCTGATTTACAAGGAATGGAACAAATAAGACGCATTATGCGTCCAACTGATGTACCAGATACTGGTAATTTTGCATTAGTTACATATAATTATTGTTGAGTGTCAAATCAATCATATCGCATATCCATATCAAAATAGTAACAACTCAAAAAGTTGGTTTTTTTAGTTAAATATATATTCGGATTCTACAAATGAAATTACATAAATCAGCAAAACAGGTTTATCTTTAATATTCTCCATCAGATGGCAATGTAAGTACATTTTATTGAATGAATGATATCAAGGTACTACCAACATAACCGACATTCCTGAAAAAAGCGTTTTTTTGAATTACTGTTTTGATATAGGTGTGCGATATTTGATATAGAATACTTTTTTTAATTTATTTTTTATCAGTTTAAAATTTTATTAAATATTGTTACCTTAAATAACCTTAAATTTAAAATTTAAATTCGAGTTAATTGCTTGGTTGTTAAAAAAAATATATGTGTATATGGATAGTTAAATTCACTTTAATATTTATTCTTATTAAAATATTTTATTTGATTTGTAATTAAATGTCAAATGATTTTATGTAAAGAATTGTTGATGTATATGTAAAACATTAAAGTAAATTATACATATATATATATATATCATAGTAAGGTTATGATGAAATTAGATATGTAATAAGATGGCAGAGATAGAAATATTAATTTACAGTGAGAAATTAAAATATAATAAAAAACTAAAATATTAGGGATTCAAAGTTTTGATGTAATATATAAAGAAGTGTTATGAATTGGTGTTGAAGAAAAAAAGGAATTTTGGATATTGTGAGAGAAATCTAAAATTAAGATTAAAAACAAGTTCTGGATCATTGATAGAGAGGGAAAGAAGATCTGAGGAAATTTTAATCGGCCAGCATCTGGTGTGAGAATAAGGTGTCAATAAGTATTAGATTGTATGGTTATGTCTATAAGAGTATAGTGGTAAGAAAAAATTGGAATTCTTAATTAAAATGTTACATAAATTAAGAATTTATTTTGAACTTACTCTAATCAATCGGTGCTCTGATAGATAGAGTTGCTAATTGACTAGGGGCATCATTGGTGAGGGGGACAGACTATGTCAAATGTCCATCTGCAATTCTTTGTTTAATGATTGCTAAAATCGATAAATTTGTATTTTGTACTTAGAAATCAGTTAATATTATTTTTTAGATAAATTAATAGTTAATTACATTTTTGTGAAACACTGACAGAAGGGTCCACTAGCTCCTCGGCTAATTACAATTTTTATCACGCGAAAAAATTCTGTAAAGTCAGAAAATTTTTAAAAATATATATACGTGGATTTACAACTTAATGTTAATAACATCAAATGCATTTTTTTTTTTAAATATTATGAAGTTCATAATTTTTTTCAGTTGCCTCACCCTTTCTAAAACTGAAATATCCCTTTTGTAATTGACAGCTTCATATATAAGTAAATAGCATAATAAGAAAGAATATAAGTGTAAAGATCATGTAAACAACTAATTGAAATTAAAAGCTAGGTCTTATGTCTGATAAAACCAAGTGTATTTAGTATTCTATCTAAAGTTATATCAGTGTGATGATTAAAATATAAGTTAGTAGGATAATAGATTTTTATATCTTTAATTTTAGAGACACTTAATGTTGAAATTACGTTGTGTGTAATGGGTAAGAAATATGGATAACATGATCCGTAAAATAAAATAATTATTATTTTTGCTGTTTGTGTTATTTTTTATTGAATTATAATATAAAATTGACTATATCTTTGTTTTTAAATGAATGTTCAAGGTAAAACTGTATTGATATTCAAAGAAGAGTTATGAATTTAATGACACATCACTTACATTCTTAAATCTAAATTCTTACATTTATATTTATTATATTTCATTTCAAAATAACTATTATTTATTTATTATATGACTAATAAATTGATTATGTAATAATTATAATTCTTGTATTTGTTTTAGGCTTACTTTGTGATTTATTATGGTCTGATCCCGATAAAGATGTTACTGGTTGGGGAGAAAATGATAGAGGTGTTTCCTTCACTTTTGGTACTGATGTTGTAGCCAAATTTTTAAATAGACATGATTTAGATCTCATATGTCGAGCACATCAGGTAAATACACTAGTTTTAATGAATTCATTTTTTTACATTTCACTTTATATTTTTATAGGTCGTAGAAGATGGTTATGAGTTTTTTGCCAAAAGGCAATTGGTTACGTTATTTTCTGCACCAAATTATTGTGGAGAATTTGATAATGCAGGAGGAATGATGTCTGTTGATGCAACTCTAATGTGTTCATTTCAAGTATGTTTTTTTTTTTATTTTATTAAATTAGTTATACATTTTTAGTCTAAATAATATCTTTTTCTTTTTCTTTTCCTTTGCTTTTTTCCCAACTATTTGGGGTCGGCTATCCTTGTCCTAAACCTCCACTCATCTCGATCTTATACATCCCCTACACACACTGTCTAAATAGTATAATTTTATTATCATTTCAAAATATTTATACATAATAAAATACAATGCTTAAATATTGAATTTATTGTTAAATTATAAAAAAATGTTTTAACATTATACTAAAAAAACAACAGTTAATTAAGGAATAAGTAAAATAATAATACTTCTTTTGCTAACTTATTCACTTTATTTTTTTCTTAATTTATTGATAAATATTTCCATTTAGTTTTTTGAATAAAGTATGTGTTTTTTTTTCTTATTCTGAAAAAAACTAATTTTTAAAAAAAAATTGATAGTATTTATGTTTCCAGAAATATAATATAACTTTAATCAGTTCATTAAAATTCAGTTCTTCTTTTAAATTGTAATAACCTGAAATGACCATAAACTAATGTCTGATAGCTTTACTTAGTGATAGCTCTAAACTGCATTGAGGCACACTCGTTTTATTGGTTTCAAATTAATAATTAAATCAATAATCTGTGACTGAATATGAAAAAGTAAAGGAAGAAATACATAATTTATTAAAATACATATTTATAATGTTAAGTGATAAATTCTACTTTATAAATAGTGTACATTTATACAGTAGGACTTTATAATTTGTGATTTTATTAACATTGTATATACCTGATGATCAATTTTAAATTTTAAACTGATTGTATATTACAAATAAAATAATATTCCAGACCATGGTAAACATATATTTATTCATTTGTATTTAAACACAATAGTGTTTTATTTTCAATGAGACAATAAAAATTCAAATGCTTTAACTCGTGATTTTTTCATTGATATGTATGAACGAACAGAAAACAAAATGTAATATTAGATTATACCTGTAGTTTAAATTTGAAAATTGTATGTAATTGCCCTAAAGATCAACTTAAATATAATATATAGTCAAGGATATAGCTATGAGTGGGCAATTGCCTCCCCTGACCATAGCTAACAAATTTATAAATTTTTAATGACATTTTAAATTGACCCACATATGACCCAATATATAAACTGCTTAAATTTTCTATATATTTTAAGTATTCTATTGATAAAATCCTATCTAATAACATTGTTGTTTAATTTCTTTTAACAATATAATTTTACTTGAATATTTTTAATAGATCATGATTTTTATTGTTGTATTTATTTTGTTTGTTATAGTTAAAGATCATAAAATAAGATAAAAAATTTAACATGGGTAAACATTTAAAAATAGACTTAATAAATAACACTAAACATGTTTTGATAGTTGCTTGCCCCTGATGAAATTTCAAGCTTTGTCTTTATATATAGTTTCTGTAGTAAAATTTTGTATTTAAATTTTAAGTATTAAAAATATAAAGACAACAAAATAAAGTATAATTTACTGTTATTGAAAATAATATGTACTTATTGTTATTTTATTCATCAAGATTCTGAAACCATCTGAAAAGAAAGCAAAATATCAATATTCAGGATTGAACTCTGGACGACCTGCTAGTAATACAACTGCTGTAAAAAAGAAATAAATAATCTTTAGTTGAACATGTATTATAAGCAACTAATATTGTTTATAATGTACCTCTGTGCTTGAATCATTTTCTTTTGAAAACTTAGAATATTTATATAATAACATAATATGTTATATATGTATAAAAATTGATTTTACCTTAACAATCATTAAATAATGGTTCCTTGTGACCTAAGTTATATAAAGTCCTAAGTATTGATTGATTATTTGATTTTAATTTTATGAACTTTGTATATATATAATAACCATTTTATTTAGTAACAAATTTAATATATGTGTATAGACATAGATTTTAATTGGGGGTTAGCCTCATTTGTGTTATAAAAAAAAATATATATATATTTATATTAACAATATTATTAGGAATTACTGATTGTTCTAAATAAATATTGTCATTACTAATTTAAATTTAGTAACAAATTTACCTATACTAATAGACAATAGCATTTCAAGTATCAATTTAATATTATATAAATTAACTCTTTTTAAGTTGTGGTAAAATATTAACCGCGCACATATTTTTTTCTGACCATTCTATTTATTTACAATAAAAAGTATTGATGTACTTGAGCAAATTAATTTTATTTTTATTTTGAAATATTACAGATATTGTACTTTAATTGTTTACTTAACTGTATGTAATTAATTAACCAAAATTAAATATATTAGTGTAAAAAATATATTAAATAATATACATAAATAAATCATGTTATTATTATATTAAACATTGAAAATTATTTTAATGGAATCAAGTTAATTTTTTTGTATGCAATTATATCTGTATAAATATAACTAAATAGTTTTTCATAAAATAATTGTGGTTTTTGGCTAAATAATTTTATCATAGATCTGTTATATTTAAAATGTATAAGTGTAAAGTTCTAGGAATTTATGTATACTTTTTTCCGTGGATAGATTCATTTTTATAATTATTTCTTCCTTATAATGTATTAATTCATTTAATGTACAAATAAATTTAACTTGTTGCTTTTGAATATATGACAGAATATTTTATTAAATATTTATCAAGAGAATTTTTTTTCATTCGTCAAATCTTACATTTTATATTTCAATGTAATGAACATATTGGACATTATTTGTTATTAATTATTATTTATCAAATAATATTTCTATAAAAATAAACTTAGTTGTAATAAATAAATATTTTAATTCAAAATATATTACAATATACTATAAGATGTAATTTATTTAAATTAAGTTGATTGTTAATAAATATTAATAATTATAAGAATGGTCAATATTAAATCATAAATATATGTTTATGTTGCTATAAAGGTATTATATTTTTTTATTTTTACTTTAATATTTAAATTTATTTTAATATAAATCAGTCAATTTCTAAAATTTGTAATTATTCACTTAGACATTTTCAATTATTTTATTTGTTGTGCAATATTATTAAAATTAAAAGTTATAGATTACCATTTTATATTTTTAAACTAAGTATTCAGAAGCTCATATGAGTAGAATTGTTGTTTTAAACCAAAGGAAATAAAATTGCTTAACTACTTATAAATTATTTTAATAAAAAAAATAAAAATTTAAATTATTTAAATATTCATGTACATTGACTGATTTACATAAAATAATCAATCTATGTAATTGGAATAGAAATATTTAATTTTAAATTGTCATTCTGTAATTAGTATACAAGTTCTATAATATTGTAAATCTTATTGTTTTAAATCTTTGCACATAAAGTATTATGTTGCACTTGCACAGAATCTCAGCATTATAAACAAAACATCCCATCAAAATGTTATTTATTTTTGACATATATTTTTTGTAAATATTTACTCTATTAATACAAATCATGATTATATTTGTGAAAAAAATGTTTGTTATGATCCTTCATAATGGTAATGAATAGTTTATTTAAAACAATTTTAAAAATAATTTTCATGTTTTAATTGTATGTTATTTTTAATAATATGATACATTGATCTACAGAATGACTAACTAATGGTATGAAAATAAAATAAAGTAAAAATTGATAATATTTAAATAATTTCTATTAAATTAATTGTCGTAGTTATATAGTTTTCAGTATGGAATTCAGTACTAAAATTGTTAAAAGTTGGTTATTCACTTTGTCTGAATTTACGAAATTACATTATACATTTTAATAACAGGAATTATTGAAAAAAATAGTTATTATCATAAGTTTTACAATCTATAGTATTCATGATTGCCTTAAGAGAGGAAGAAAATTAAAAATTAACTTTTATTGTTCATTTTATGGTACAAATTGTTATAAAAATTTGTTGATTCATTTAATATTGAAGGAAAATTAATTTAAGCTGCTGTATTAATTTAAATTCCAAACGTTTCCATAACCTGCTACTTTCAGTCAAGGTATTGAACTATAGATTTATAATATTTTAAATATATTTGTTGAACTTGTCAATAAAAGTTAAATTTACATTTAAATTTTTACATTTTTAATGACACATCTAATAAATAATAGATTTCCTTAGGTTTTATAATAATGCACACTAGGTACTCATTTTAAAAACTACATGATATGAATGTATACTACACAATTTGTTAACATTGAAAAATAGTCCTCTCCATGGCTAATTTACGAGGGCTATCTCAAAATCAAACTCTAATGTGGTACAATTCACTACATACGAACACTTCGTTCACATGTTGCTTCTTATCGCAACTAATATATTATTGTATAACATTCCCCGAATCTCTACCGTTTCCAATCAGTATTGTTCTATTATTTGCCTTAATTACATCGATAATAAAATTTTATTTCCCGCCCCCTGCGAAGTGTAATTCGATTTTTGCAAGCCGAGGAAGATGGCTTAGCTCAAATTCGTCGTCGGCTTTGTGCTGCAATACAGTGATGAGTGATGGTTCAGTACAGGTTTGGTAAAGACAATTTAAAAACGGATAAAAAAAAAACTGTGTGTAATGAAAGGGCACAAATTGATCATGACCGAAGACGTGGTTCACCAAGTTGACAAATTTGAAAAAACATATTTTACTTTTATATTTTATCTTTGCATTTTCATGTTATATATTTATGAGCAGGGCTCGGGACTTTTAACACTTAAAATCATTAAAATAAACGCTTAAAAACATCATTATAAGCACTAAAATAAGCATTTAAAAAAATTAAAATTAAGAAAATTATTAAAAAAAAAAAAACTAAAAAATTAAATAAAATAAAAATAAATCTACACTTTCAAGATTTTATGGATTTCTTAAGGGATTTTTCTGAAAAATAAAATGTAAGCTCTGTTCTCTTTGATTTTGATAATTCTAACGTTTGACACTCGGTTCCATTTTCAACGTTGGAATATCTTTGTTAACCATACAACGATGCCTTGGACAACGATGAACTACCTGACAACATAGATAAAATAGGAATTATTTTTAAATTTAAATTTTATTAAAAACGACTTTGCAGGAGAAAACTATAAAAACGTAAAAAAACTAGTCAAATAAGCAAAAATAATCAGAAAATTATCCAAAATCATTTAAATATAATCAACTTGTGGGAAAATAGGTGGAAAATCAAAATAAACAAAACCAAATCTGTTCTAGTAACTTTCTCACTACGAAATCTCGATTCTCCACTTGTTTGGTTAAACAACCTAACAATTCCAAAGGCAAACGAAGTTAAATATCTTGGTTTAATTCTAGACAACCTGGAGCCCACGCATAAAACTTAAACGTAAAACTGTTAACTCTAGACCTCATATGCTTAGACCACTCTTAAAATCTGAACTTTTCCTATCCAAAAAAATTATCTTATATAAAACAATAATTCGACCAGTTTGAACCTATCCAGTTATGAGGAACTGCAAAGCCATCCAATACTAAAACACTTTAGCGATTCAACCCATCTGCCTACGAGTAATAATGTTATATCTCTGATACTTTTCAAACAATGACCTTCACAAAGACTTAAAAATTCCTACACTCAATGAATTAGCAAAATCATATTATTTCAAATTTCACACCAATTTAAACTCTCACAGTGACCCATTAATAAAACAATTATCTTCCACCTCACTTCCTGGTAATTCAAGTAGAAGACTCAAAAGGCAATGACTTAAATTAAAACTAAAAAAAAAAATTATAATACTTAAAATGTACCCGGTTGGATGGTACTGCTGAGTTTCTGCTCATAAATTTAAATCTCCTGTTACTCAACATTATTAACTATAAAATGTACTTATTGTATTAACTGTTGTATAGATTATAAATTATTTAAATAAAAAATATATATATATATATATATATATTTTTTATTATATATATATATACACTTGAATTATGCTTTATTAAAACATACAGAGAAATGTATATCTTCTATAGAGATATAAAAGTTGATTTGAATTCTTTAGAACAATCATATAAGTTTTATTTCAAGTATTTAATCCTACAATTTTATTTAAATAAAATTTTTTAACATTTTAGTAAACATATTATAGATAAAACTTTGTACAAGTACCAGTTGAAATTCATAAATTTAACAAAGAGTGCTTCATTTACTGTTTTGCTACCACTCCAACATAAAATAAAAACTAATAAACATAATATTTAAAAACCGATAAAAAGTAAAATTACTATTATTTATTTAATCATTCAAAATATTTAGTGGTTATTTTCTTATTTACTAAGTAACTTTATAAATCAAAATTGTACCTAAAAAGTAAGAATATTTAATATATTCTAATGTGAAATAATAATTTCATTTGAAATTGTGTCATTTAATTATGATAATTCACAATGGGAAATCTTCTTAAAATTACCTGAATGTCTTAATTTATTTATTAGATTATCACAAAGTTAAAAATAATCACAGTACACTTATATATATTTCGCCTTTTCTCATTTTTATTTTTTCAATGTTGATAATTTATATTTTGTTGCCCATGAACTTTTAATTTCAAGCATCTTTGACTATGAGCAATGAATAGGAACGTTACGATACTACCGATACCAATAAAGTATCGATACTTTTCTTTCGATACAAGTACTTTTTTTATCGATACAATGGTTTCGATACTTAATACGCAGCAGGGTCGCGGAAAGAATAAAAAAAAAAAGAAAACCTCTTCAAACTAAGACATTGGCAACACAAAGCATAACAACTTGCTTGTTATGTTTTATGTTTAATTATGTTTTGGATATATTAACGTGAAGCATCAGGATTTTCAAAAAAAAATTGAATGAGAAATT